CACTCATGGTGCCCTGTGTGTGTCAGAGTAGAACTGTACGCCACAGCGTTTTCAGTGAGTGCTTTTATCTTAAGTGGCTCTGCAGGCCTTTCTTCCTATGCACCTGTTGTTGTTGTTGTTGTTGTTTTTAAGTACCATCAAGTCGATTCTGACCCATAACGACCCCGTATAGGGTTTCCAAGGAGCAGCTGGTGACCTTGAACCACCAACCTTGCAGTTCAAACAACTTTGCAGTCTGAGCCCACAGCGCCACACCAGGACTCCATTTCCTTTAATAACTGAGCACATCCACTGTTTGTATCTCGCTAGGCCTCCATCATTCTGTGACTATGCTACGGGGCACGCTAGATCCATTTACTCCCCAGTAGCAGATCACATTCACTGCCTTTTCTCATTCAGAGATCACGGTTTGCAGATCCTGTTTCTGCTGAGAATCGTCCATATTGTCATGGAAAGCCGACTGACTGCACCCACGCCTTCCTCAGCAACAACCACTGTGTGTCCCTGCTTGACATTTGGTGGTTTTCTGTTTTGTTTTGTTTCAGGAAAATGGCACCAGGGGGTGAACTGTGTGTCTCGCGGGGACCACTGCCACCACCCTTTAAATCACGGGTTCGACTACTTCTACGGCATGCCCTTCACGTTGATCGACGACTGCCACCCAGACAGGCCTCCGGAGGTCGATGCGGTGTTTCGGAGGAAACTCTGGCTGTACACACAGGTCATGGTTCTGGGGGTGTTGACACTTGCGGGCTGCAAAGCTTTGGACTTGCTCCCCATCCCCTGGAAAGCTGTCCTGGGTCTGGCCGGCCTGGTCGCCTTGTTTTTCCTCTCCTGGTACGCCAGCTTCGGGTTCGTGCGACGCTGGAACTGCGTCCTGATGAGAAACGATGAGGTCGTAGAGCAGCCTATGGCCCTGGAAACAGTAACCTTCCGGATGCTGAGGGAGGCAGTGGCCTACATAGAAAGGTACCCAGATGATGCTCGAGTCATCAGAACCTCTGAGTCTTTGTTTGTAATCTTGTGAAGCAGGGCTGAGGCAGCCAGCCCTCGACTCTTGGAGACCTTGAGTGAGAGAAAGATGAGGCTTTCTGCTCCTGCAAAGACTCGGAGCCTCAGAAAACCCCGTACAGGGTCGCTGTGAGTCAGAACCCACTCGACGGACACGTGACAACAACATATCCGTATACAGGGAGTGCGGTGGCTGGACTGAGAACCACAAGGTTGGCAGTTCAAACCCACCTACTGCTCCACAAGAAAAAGATGAGGCTTTTTGCTCCCTTAAAGACTGACAGCCTCGGAGATGCTGTACAAGGTTACTATGAGTCAGAACCGACTCAACGGCACGTGACAACAACAGTGTTGTACTAAGGAGCACGGGCCGGTGGTGCAGGGGTTAAGCACTTGCCGGCTAACAGAAAGGTCAGTGTTTAGAACCCAGGAGAAAGATGAGGCAGTCTGTTTGCATGAAGTCCTGGAAAGCCTCTGGAGTGAGTCTGCTCTGTTGTATAGAATTATTATGAACCAGAATTGAAGTCCATGGCAATGAGTGGCTTGTTCTACTGTGGTGCTTGTTGTGATGCTGGAAACTATGCCATCGGTATTTCAAATCCCAGCACGGTCACCCATGGTGGGACGATTTCAGCTGTATGTTCAGACTAAGATAGAGTAGGAAGAAAGTCCTGGCAATCTCCTTCTGAAAATCAGTCAGTGATACAGCCTGCGGATCATAATAGAATATATTCTGATACAGTACTGGAAAGTGTGCCATCAGTATTTCAAATCCCAGCACAGTCACCCATGGTGGGAAGATTTCTGCTGTATTTTCAGACTAAGATAGACTAGTAAGAAAGTCCTGGCAATCTGCTTCTGAAAATAAGTCAGTGATACAGCCTGCAGCTCATAATAGAACATACAGTACTGGAAGCTCTTTCATCAATATTTCAAATATCAGCAGGGTCACCCATTGTGGAGCAGGTTTCAGCCGAGATTCCAGACTAAGATAGAGGAGAAAGAAAGTCCTAGAGATCTACTCCTAAAATCAGACAAAGAAAGCCCTATGGGTCACAACAGAACATTGTCTGATATAGTGCTGGGATCTGTATCGTCAGTATTTCAAATTCCAGCAGGGTCACCCATAGTGGGCAGATTTCAGCAGTGTTTCCAGACTAAGAGAAACTAGGAAGAAATGCCTGGCACCCTACTTCTGAAAGTCAGCCGGTGATGACCCTATGTATAATACAGTACTGGAAGCTATGTTATCAGTATTTCAAATACTAGCATGATCACCCATGGCTGAACAGGTTTCAGCAGTGTTTACAGACTAATGTAGACTAGGAAGAAAGGTCAGGCAGTCTACTTCTGAAAAATACCCAGTGAAAACTCTGCGGGTCACAGCAGAACATCGCTCATGATAACGTTACATCAAGAAAAAAAAAAAGTCCCCACTGCCATGGAGTCAATTCCAACCCAATGACCCCTGACCCTCATAGGACAGGGTAGATCTGCTCCCTGTGGTTTCTGAGACTAAGTCTTTAGGGAGCAGACGGTCTCATTTTCTTCCATAAGAGCAGCAGGTGGTTTTGAAACACCAACCTTGTGGTTAGCATCCAAGCACTTCACCACTACACCACCACGTCCTTGTAGTATTTGAAGGCATTCAAAGCACACAGCAGTTGCAGCAAAGAAGTTGAGTACACCAAAGATTGTGGAAATAGTGTAGGAGCCTCAAGGTATCCTTCTGTTGTATAAACCTCACCATGAGTCTGGGCCTACTGCAATTAACACGACAACAGTAATGATGTAACAATTCCTATTGAAGCAGATACTTTGAATACCATCAACAATCAAGGGTGTCTTCTTGTTTCAGAAACAAACATGTGCCGTTTCTCCTGTTCGTATCATTGTTGCATGTTCACATCCCCCTCGTTACCACAGAAAAGTTTCTTGGGAAGAGTCTCCACGGCTTATATGGGGACAACGTGGAGGAGATGGACTGGGTAGTCGGTGAGTCCACTATATTCAGCTCGCCCTGAGATTCTGCTTGGAGAACATGCCACCACGCAGCCATCTGGCCAAAAACTACACTGTGTAAAGAACAAAAAAGTCAGTAAAAAGGGGGGAAATACGTTCGCCTTTCTGGTGGCGCTGTAGGATAACATTGGATTGGTAACCACAGTGTCGGCTGTCTGCTCCCTGTCGGAAGCTCTGTATAGATAGGGTCACTATGAGTCAGAATTGATTCGATGACAGTGAGCTCCGCTTTTTAAGTTTTGGGTCATTCATTTAAACGGATCCCTGTGGCACAGTGGTTCAATGCTTGTCTGCTAACAGAAAGGTCAGTGTGTGGTGGTCGTGGTGGTTTCGACGCCTAGCGACCCTATATAGGGTTTCCAAGGCTCTAAATATTTATGGGAACAGTAAAGCTCATCTTTCTCCCACAGAGGACTGATAGATTCTAATTACTTACCTAGTGGCCAGCAGCTTAGCTCATAATCCATATGACTTTAGGGCTCCTAGCTTTGCTATATATGTATCTATTGTTGCCATTATTGTTGTTGTTAAGTGCCGTTGAGTTGATTCTGACCCATAGCGACCCTGTATAGGGTTTCCAAAGAGAAGCTGGTGAGCTTGAACCGCCGACTTTGCAGTTCAATTGGCTTTGCAGTCTGCCGCATTAACCCACAGTGCCACACTGTCAAATTGGTTCCGAATTGTAGCAACCCTGTATAGTTTCCGATACTTTAAATCTTCCAGGGAGCACAGTCTCATCTTTCTCCTGCGGAGCAGCAGGCAAGCTTGAACTGTGAACCTTATTATTTGCAGTCCAGTGCTTGTCATATGATGCCACCACACTCCTATATATATCTATACTTGTCGTTGTTGTTGTTAAGAGCCGTCAAGTCAGTTCCAACTCATAACGACCCTGTGTCAGGTTTCCAAGGAGCAGCTGGTGGGTTTGAACCGCCAACCTTGTGGTTGGCAGTCCAGTGCTAATTCTACAGCACCATACCAGGAGTCAGCTACATGGAGCCCTGGGCTGGTTCTGTAGGATCCGCACTGGACTGCGAACCACAAGGTCGGCGGTTCAAAGCCACCAGCTGCTCCACAGACGGACGATGAGGCTTTCTGCTCATGTAAAATATTTATAGCCTCGGGAACCCATACAGGGTCAGTGTGAGGCAGAGTCCACTGAATGTCCCCACCAACAGCCTTGGAAACCTTATTAGACAGTTTCACTGTGCCCTACAAGATGACTATCAGATTCAAGCAGCGGGCAAGTACATTTAGGGTTTTGTCGTCTCTGAAAGGAGCCCTGATGGTATGATGGTTAAGTATGTGGCTGCTAATCAAAACGTCCGAGGTTTGAACCCACCCCCAAGCTGGAGGAAGATGAGGCAATGTGTTCCCATAAAGATTGTTGCTGTTGTAAAGATTACAGGTTTGGAGACCCTGTGGGGCAGCTCTCTCCTGCCCTTCAGGATTACTGCTTTGGGGGGGGGGGGGCGGAATCTACTCAGAGGCACGGGGTTCCCTTTATCTATTCCTTTACTGGCTGGCCTTGGGTGCTTTCAAGTTGATTTCAATTCATAGCTACCGTGTAGGGCACAGAGGAGCCGCTCGCCCCATAGGATTTCTGAGGCTGTAAATCTTGACCGAAGCAGACTGCCTCATCTTTCTCGCCTGGAGCCTCTTCGTGGGTTCAAACCTCCAACCTGTCAGCAGCTTAATGCTTAACAGCTGTGGTACCAGGGCTCCACGTATTCCTAATTAGTTAGCCTCATTTTGCACAAAATCCATCCAGGTGTGGTGCGGTGGCATAAAACACTGGACTGCAAGATCAGTTTGAACCACAAGGTCGGCGGTTCAAGCCTACCAACCGCTCCTCAGAAACCCTATACAGGGTCCCTATGGGTCAGGATCGACTCAGCAGCACTTAGCAACATGTTTCTGCAAAACCGACTTTATAAAATCAACATTAGAAGCTTCCAAGAGTGCTGTAAGGATCATGAAGACACCCAATGACAGCTTCTTGTTGTTAAGTGCTGACACATAACAACCTTGTATAGGGTTTCCAAGGAGCGGCTGGTGAGTTTGAACTGCCGACCTTGTGGTTCAAACCAACATTTTGGTCCAGCGCTTTATCCCAGAGCACCACACCAGGATTCCAGTGACGTTTATTGTTGTTGTTGTTGTTGAATGTCGGTGAGTCACTTTTGACTCATAATGACTCTGTATACAGTTTCTAAGGAGCGGCTAATGGGCAGTTCAAACCCACCCTCAGGCACAGACTCCAACACCATACTAGATATAAATATATAGCTATACACATACATGTGGTTCAGTCGGTTCCAACTCATAGCAACCCTACATAGGGTTTCCTAGGAGCGGCTAGTAGGTTTGAACCACCAGCCTTTTGGTCAAGTGCTTATCCTACAGCGGCACAACTCCTGTTGTTAACGTTGTTGTGAAGTGCCATCGAATCAGTTCCGACCCATAGCAACTCTGTATAGGGTTTCCAAGGAAAAGTTGGTGAGCTTGAACCACTGACCTTGCGGTTCAAACCGACTTTGCAGTCTGGCACATTAACCCAGGACTCTGGCACCCCCTCCTAGAGTTCTAAAGTAATGTAGATATTGGAATGTTTGCCCGTGATTATCCTATACCCGAAGACAGTGTGGCGATACGCTGGACCAGCTAATGAAGCGCATGATTTTGTTGTCCGTTGCCGACGGGCAGGCTCCCACTCATGGCAACCCCATGTACTCCAGATCCACACGTGGCCCCGTCCTATGACTTCCTCACCTTGGCTGGTGTGTTTGACTTCATTGCCGTGGAGTCCCAGTGCCTCCTAACATCACAGTGTTCATCTTCTAGTGTTCTCTTGTGATGCAGAGGATTTTCAGTGGCTGATTGTCACAAGAAGATCTCCAGGCCTTTCTTCCTAGTCTTAGGCCAGGAGCTCCACTGAAACCTGTCCACCGTGGGTGACCCTGTTGGGATTTGAAATGCTAATGACATAGTTTCTAACACTCTATTAGACAATGTTCTGATGTGATCCACAGGGTTTATCACTAGATGATTTTCAGATGTGGATTGCCAGCCTTTTCTTCCTAGTCTCTTTCAGTCTGCAAGCTCCACTGAAACCTATCCAACATGGGTGAACCGGCTGGTGTTTGAAATACTGATGTGATAGCTTCTAACTCTGTATCAGACAATGTGATCCATAGGAGTTTTAGTGTCTGATATTCAGATGTAGCTCGCCAGGCCTTTCTTCCTAGTGTGTCTTAGTCTGCAAGCTCCACTGAAACCTGTCCACCGTGGGTGACCCTGCTAGGATTTGAAATGCTAATGACATAGTTTCTAGCACTCTATTAGACAATGTTCTGATGTGATCCACAGGGTTTATCACTAGATGATTTTCAGATGTGGATTGCCAGCCCTTTCTTCCTAGTCTCTTTTAGTCTGGAAGCTCCACTGAAACATGTCCACCGTGGGATTTGAAATTTGGTGGCATAGCTCCCAGCATCACTGTACCCCACAAGCCAGCACAGTAGGACAGACTGACAGATATGGGTGGAAAGAGGCAACGCTGTTGTTGATGTTAGGTGTTGTTGAGTTGATTCCTACTCACAGCAACCCCGTGTACAATAGAACAAAATACTGCTCCATCCTCATAACTCTTGTTAAGTTGGAGTCCACGGTTACAGCCAGTGTGAATGCATCTGTTTGGGGGTGGGTCTTCCTCTTTTTAGGTTGACTGTCCACTTTGCCAAGCATGATGTCCTTCTCAGGGGACAGGTTCCTACAGATCGGGGAGTAGTTCTCAGGAATCTGCAGTGAGCGGTACAAACGTCCCGTGTGTTTGAAAGCCTTCGGTTTCAGTGAAGTGACTGTGTTCTCCACGAATAAATTGCTGTCTGCAAGTTCTTCTGTGTCCCTGCTACATCCTGGAACCTCCCGTGCCCAAACCCACAGATGCTTACGGTGCGCCATATGGCTTCCAGCAGTCTCCCCCTCGTACTTAACCATGGACTCACAGAAGCGAAGCGGGCAAACAGAGACTTAACAAGCTTGCAGTGCACCGCTGACAACAGACTGTTTTCAAGAGTCTCTTCTGTTTTCTGAATCTATGAGGTCTTTGTGCCACACTTTGACAAGCTCAAACGGTTAAATATCAGCTGCTCATCACAAGGCTGGAGGTTTAGATCCATCCATGGCACAGGTGCCTTGAAAGAAAGCTCTCGCAATCCAGTTTGTTAAAAATCAGTCACTGGAAGCCCCACACAGCACAGTTCCACTCTGACACACAAGGGGGCACCACTGTGAATCAGAATGCACTTGTATATCACAAGGCGTCTTTATGAGCTAGTGTGGCGCTGTGAGTTAATGCGCCAGACTGCAAAGCCATTTGAACTGCAAGGTCGGCGGTTCAAGCTCACCAGCTGATCCTCAGAAACCCTATACAGGGTCGCTATGAGTCAGAACCGACTTGACAGCACTTAACAACAACAACTTGGTTATGAGTCGGGCTGCCAACCACAAGGTCAGCAGTTCAAAACTACCAGATGTCTGTGGGAGAAAGATGAGGCTTTCTGCTCCAGCCTCGGAAACTCTATGCAGGGTCATTATGAGTCGGAACCGACTCCACGGTACTTAACAACAACCACTGAAAGGTTGAAGGTTCAGTTTCCCCTTACCCATCCAAGGTGCAATGGAAGAAAGGGCTGACAATCTAGCTTCAAACACTTATCCCCTGAAAACTTTATGGAGTACAGTTCTACTCTGACACACACAGGGGCGTCGTGCATCACAAGAGAACTCAGTGAGTGTGTTTGTGAGCAATTCTATGGTTTCAGGACAGTTAGCCACCTTTGTATATATTGTGCAAGAAAGGTTAACCCAGTCCAGTACTAACAAAGGGTGAAGGTTCAGTTCTATCCAGAAGGACCTCAGAAGAAAGTCCTGGCAATCTACTTCCAAACAAATCAGTCCCTGCAAACCCCGTGAAGCACAATTCTACTGTGACACACACGGGGGCGCTGTAAGTGGGAATAGACTCTGGTAGCTGGTTTATGTTTCATGTTTTTGTTGAGAGGGGAGAGGGAGCACTATGTGATTAATGTGATAAACAAATGACTACTGGCGGTTCAAACCCACCAGCCGCTCCTCGGGAAACTTAGACAAGGCCTTTATGAGTTGGAACCAACTTGATGGCACATCACAACAACAACAACAACCTTCATGATTGTGGTTTCTACTTATGATTGCTAACAAGAGATGCCTCATCTGGAAACAGGAAGGTAATATTGAATCTGCTGAGTTTTGTTTTATTTACATCGTCCTGAAACAAATCTCTTTTTGCCTGTAAAGGTGAAATTCTTGGTGCGATTGAAGAGAATGGTTTGAAGAATTCAACGTTCACATACTTTACCTCAGACCATGGAGGACATTTGGAGGCGAGAGACGGACATAGACAACTGGGGGGATGGAATGGAATTTATAAAGGTAAGACTGAGGAGCATGGGGGCGGAGGGAACAGAAGGACAGACTTCAGTGCATTACCAGTGACACCCACCACCGAGGAAGGAAAAAGAGTTTGATCATCCAAAGAGCATTTATTAAGCACCTATAATGGTTACTAGTCGGGCTGTGAACCTCAAGGTCAGCAGTTGGAAACTACCAGCTGTTCTGCAGGAGAAAGATGAAACTTTCTGCTCCTGTAAAGATTTACAGCCTTGGAAACCCTGTGCAGGGTCACTATGAGTCGGACTCGACTCCACGGCACATAACCACCACATGCAGTCCTGGTGTGGCGCTGTCGGCTAATGTGTCAAACTGCAGTCATTTGAACTACAAGGTCGGCTGTTCAAGCTCACCAGCTGCTCCTTGGAAACCTTATAAAAGGGTCGCTATGAGTCGGAACAGACTCCACGGCACATAACCACCAACAACTACATATATGTGTGTGTGTGTGTAGCATCCTGGTGTGGCACTATAAGATCAGCACTAGGCTGGAAACCACAAGGTCGGCAGTTCAAACCCACTAGCCACTCCTCGGAAACCCTATATATATAGTAGGGTCAATATGAGTTGGAACTGACTCGACAACATTTAATAATAACTACTCATACATATATATGGAGTGCTGGTGTGGCGCTGTGGGCTAATGCGTCAGACTGCAAAGTCGTTTGAACTGCAAGTTCGGTGGTTCAAGCTCACCAGCTAGCTGCTCCATCAGAATGCTATACAAGGTCACTATGGGTCAGAATCAACTCAACAGCACTTAACAATAACGTATATATATTTGTTTGGCTAGTCCATGAATCTTGTTGACTTGGTTGTTATATAATGACATCAGTTCACAGCTGCTGCATGCACCCAGTGCATGTATGCAAGCCCCGATTCACTAGAAAATTCTAACAATGGATGTCATTGGTTTACAGGAGGCAAAGGCATGGCCGGCTGGGAAGGAGGTATCCGGGTCCCTGGAATCTTCCGATGGCCGGGGGTACTGCCCGCCGGACAGCTGATCCACGAACCCACCAGTCTGATGGATATTTTCCCCACGGTGGTCCAGCTGGCAGGCGGCCAGATGCCTCAGGACAGGTGGGTCCAAGCTGCAACCACCAGCCCCCGAGTTTCTGAGATCTGGCCTTTCCATTTGTCACATTTTGGAGGAAAAATATTTCCGATATGACAGCATCTAAAAACAATTCCGACTTCAACTACGCCTCCCACCCCACTCACTGGCTATGAGTCTATTCCAAACTAGAGCTTTACCCATGTAAGTGATTCTGGGTCTTAGAACCTTGATGATTACAAAGGAAGAGAGTCAGAGTCAGGGTAAGGTGGGCATAGGCCAGCTAGAATTTGGGAACGAGCGGTAACATCTCAGGGTCCCTGGATGGTGCACACCATTTATGAACGACTTCTGATAAAAGGCTGGTGATTCAACCCTGCCTCTCCCATCGCCCGACTCCCGGCAAAGCTCCGTGGCAGTCTGTCCTCATAAAGGTTGGCGGTGGTGGTTTGAGGTGCCATTCGAGTTGGCTTCAACTCATAGTGAGCGTATATGCCAGTGTGAAACACTGCGAGGTCCCGCACCATCCTCACACTCACTGCTAAGTTTGATCCCGTTGGTGTTGCTAGTGCGTCGGTCCGTCTCCTTTTCTGTTGACCCTCTAACTTGACCAAGCACGATGTCCTTCTCCAGGGACCCGTCACTCCTAAGAAGATGTCCAAAGCACGAGAGACAAATTCTCTTCATCCTCGCTTCTAAAGAACTTTCTGGCTGTACTTCTTCCAACACAAACTTGTTGATTTTTCTTACACCCTATGGCCGATTTGAAATTCTTCAGCAACATCAAAATCTAAAGACTTCAATTCTTCTCTGGTCTTCTGTATTCACTGTCCAGCTTTTGCATGCATATGAGGTGATTAAAAATACCATAGCTTGGGTCGGGCACATCTTAGTCCTCAAGCTGACATCTTTGCTCTTTAACATGTTCAAGAGGTCTTTGGCAACTGGTTTTGTCGTAAACATGACAATGTTGGAAACCTTATGGAGCAGTTCTACTCTGTCACATGGAGTCACTAAGCCACAGTGGACTCTGGCTTAACCTGTTTTGCTTTGGTTTTCGGTTAAGGTTTGGCATTAGAATGGGACCAGGGCAATCTTGATATTTTATACTGAATGAGATGCTTTGGTGTGACCCTTCCTGTTCTCTTCCCATGTCAGGGTCATCGATGGCCGCAGCCTCCTGCCCTTGCTCCTAGGGTCTGTCCAGTATTCGGCCCACGAGTTCTTATTTCACTACTGTGGGATGCACCTCCACGCTGCCCGGTGGCACCAAATAGACAGTGAGTATCACGTCCTCCACCTCAGAGGGAATGGATCTCTCCCCTCCATCCAAAAAGGCTCATCCCCACAGTGAACAGAGTGGGGATCCCAGTGGTGAGCTGCTGTGACAGTCACAGTTCTAAAGGGGAAGCAGTGTCATACGCCTGTGAAGATAGAATGGCAAGTGTGCCTCGTGTTCTCAAGGTGGCTGCTGCAGCTCCAGGCAGCATGCAGACATTCCAGGTGGCTGTAGCAGGAAGTGTGTATATATGTGTGTGTACACATATGTGTTCGAGTCTATAGTTAGAAACATGTGTGTATGTGTACTTAGATGCGTGTGTGTGTGTACATATACATATATACACATATATTAAGGGTATTCAAAAAGTTTGTGCAAAAATTAATTTTAAAATGGTGGGATATTCAACAAACTTTTTGAAGCACCTTTGTATACGTTGTATATGCACACACACACACATATATATATATACACACACTCACAGATAGATAGATACAAAGATGGATGGATGAATAGGTAGGTAGGTAGATAAATAGATATATAGATAGTTGGATGGATGGATGGATAATAGATAGATAGTTACATAGATAGATAGATAGATAGATAGATAGATAGATAGATAGATAGATAGATGTGATAGACAGAGTGAAAGAATGATACATAGAGAGAGAGAGAGATGATAGAAAGACAGGTAGATACAGCGCTGCTACGAGTCAGAATAGATTTCTGACATGGCACTATAGGATCAGAACTGGACTGTGAATCAGAGGTTCAAACCCACGAGCTGCTCCTTGGAAATCCTCCACAGGATCACTATGAGTCGGAACCAACTCGATGGCACTTAACAGCAAGAGGATGAGCAGAATCAGTGTGATGGTGTTGGGCTTTGATTTGGGCTTTGACTATAGCTCCATGTATCTGTCTCAGTTCTGTAATGTTGCACAGGGGGTGCCTTTAACACAGAGAAATTGATTCTCTCAGAGTAGAGGTGTGCTGCTATAGGGTAAGCACTGCACTGCAAGGTCAGTGGTTCATACTCACCGGCCGCTCCTTGGAAACACACATAAACACACACATTCTCATATATTTGTAACTATATACCGAAACATATATTATACATGTTTGTACACACACAAACTTCCTGCTACAGCTACCTGGAATGTCTGTGTGCTGTCCGGAGCTGCAGCAGCCACCTTGAGAACACGAGGCACACTTGCCATCCAGGTAGCACTTACTTACTATAACAGCATACTTACTATAGGAGGCTAGAAGCCCTAATTCAGAGCACTGGCTCTAGGAAAGGCTTTCTTTCTGTGCTGGTTCTGAGACAGGTCCTTGTCTTCTGTCAGCATCTTTTGGCCCAGCATTCCTTGGAAATGTCAACGTGTCTGGGCTACAATCCTCCCCTGGATTTAGTTGCTTCACAGAGCAGGGACTCCAGGCCCAAAGGATGCTTCCCCACTCCCAGCTCTGCTTTCTCAGTGGTAGTGGGCCCCTCTGCGCTCAGCTCCCTTCTTCTCTCCTTTTATCTCTTATAAGTAAAAGATGTTCTAGAGCTCAGGGAAAGTTGTCTTAGATTGTGTCTGTTGTTGTTGTTAAGTGTCATTGAGTTGGTTCCGACTCATAGCAACCCTGTATGGGATTTCCTCGGAGCAGCTGGTAGGTTTGAACCACCGACCTTGTGGTTTACAGTGCAGTGCTGATCCTACAGCTCACAACAGGAGTCCCACCCTTAACCCTCTTCCTGGTTTATCACACCAGGTCACATCATGGGGAATCATTACATAACTGCCACATCCCAGCATGGTTCCGCCAGGAACAGAATTAAACATCTGTTCCTCAGAGCCACCCACTTATGGGATTTCTACTTGAATAACACTAGAAGACCCTGACACCCCTAAATATCTGGGTGTGATCTGTGCACGCAGCATCTTTGCAGATGTTGTTGTGAACTGCCGTCGAGTATGGCCTGGCTCATTGAGACCCTGTATAGGGTTTCCGAGGAGCGGCTGGTGGGTTTGAACCACCGACCTTGCGGTTAGCAGTCCAGTGCTGATCCTACAGTGCCACACCTGGAGTCCATGTGATGATGTGGATTTCTGCACCCCTGACCAGATCCTTGTTTCCGCGCAGGTGGAAGGGTCTGGAAGGTCCACTATGTGACGCCCCAGTTCCACCCCGAGGGTGCCGGGGCCTGCTACGGCCGGGGTGTGTACCCTTGCTCAGGGACAGGCGTCACCCACCACAGCCCACCCCTGCTGTTCGATCTCTCCAGCGACCCTTCCGAGGCAGAGCCCCTGTCCCCTGACTCGGAGCCCCTGTACGACACAGTGATCTCCAGGGTGGCGCAGGCTTTGGAGGCGCACCGGCAAACCCTGAGCCCCGTGCCTCATCAGTTCTCCGTGGGCAACATCATCTGGAAGCCTTGGCTGCAGCCTTGCTGTGGGACCTTTCCTTTCTGTTCCTGCAAAGAGGATGAAGCCAGCACCCCACCAGGGCCAGATCCATGAGTAAGGGGAGGGGACGCAGAGACAGGCACCTGCTTCTCTCAGCCACCCTGACCCCGAACTCTACATATGTACGTGTGTGCCAGAGGGTTTCCAGCAGGAAATCACCAGGCCTTACTTCTGACGCACTTCTGTGTGGACTTGAATCTCCAGTGTTTGTGTTTGTAGCTGAGCAAATTCACGATTGGTTCCACCCAAGGATTCCATGTGGAGTCCTGGTGTGGCGCTGCTAGAAAAATCACCAAACAGCAAGGTCGACGGTTCAAACCCACCTGTTGCTCCTCGGAAATCGTAGACAGGGTCGCTAGGAGTTAGAGCAGACTTGATGACACTAATAACAACAACAGGGACGTCATTTACAGGTATGTTGTTGTTGTTGTTGTTGTCGTTAAATGCCACAGAAACAATGTGGACTGTCAGCGACCCGACTGCACATCACAACAAAACTCTGCCTGGTCCTGAACCATCACCATCCTCACAATCCTTGGTCGGTTTGAGCCCACAGTGCCCGTCCCTCTCATTGCGGGTCTTCCTCTTTCTCCCTGACCCTCCACTTTGCCAAGCGTGATGTCCTTCTCCAGGCACTGGTCCCTCCTGATAACATGTCTGAAGAATGAGATCAAGTCTTGCCAGGAGTATTCTGCCTGCACGTCTTTCTCTATTTGTTGTTTTTGTTAGGCATCGTTGAGTGGGTTCCAACCCTAACGCTAACCCCATGCACAACAGAACAAAACACCACCTGGCGCTACACAATCTTCACAATCGTTCCTACGTTTGAGCCCATTGCCGCTGCCACTGTGCCAATCCATGTCATTGATGTTGTTATTGTTAGGTGCCATCGAGTCGGTACTGACTCATAGCGACCTTATGCACAGCAGAATGAAACACTGCCCAGTCCTTCGCCAACCTCACAATTGTTGCCACGCTTGAGCCCACTGATGCTGCCAATCCATCACATTGGGGTCTTCCTCTTTTTCTCTGAGCCTCCACTGTACCAAACATGATGTCCTTCTCCAGCGACTGCTCCCTCCTGACAATATGTTTGAAGTATGAGAGATGAAGTTTGGCCATCCTGGCCTCCAAGGAGCACTTCTTCCAAAACGGATCTATTGGTTCTTGTGGCAGCCCATGGCACTTTCGATATTCTCCTCCAACACCATAACTCAAAAGCATCAATTCTTCTACGTCTGTCTTCCTTATTATTCACTGTCCAGCTTTCGCATGCATATGAGGTGATTGAAAATACCATGGCTTGGGTCAGGCGCACCTTAGTCCTCAAGCTGTCATCTTTGCTCTTCAACACTTTAAAAAGGTCCTTGGCAGCAGATTTGTCTTCATCCTCCATCTTTTCTCAACCCTCCACCTTGTCCCCGCCCTCCACCTTGTCCCCGCCCTCCACCATGGCCACGCCCTCCACCATGGCCACACCCTCCATCTTGTCTCTGCCCTCCACCTTGTCCCCGCCCTCCATCCTGTCCCCGCCCTCCGTCTTGTCTCCACCCACCACCAGCTTGCCTCCCTCGTCCCCATCTTGTTTTACTGAGTTAAATTTTGTAGTTGTTCATGATGAAACAGACAGGTCAGTGACATGATGAAACAGTCAGTTCTCGCCTTCGATGCCGGAAACCCGGATCCAATCCCAGGGCCGCTCATGTGCAGCACCATTCATCTACTACGTCATCAGTCTTTCCAGACAAACTCAGACAAGGGAGCAAGCCTTGGCAATCTGCTATAAAAACACAAGTCTGTGAAAACTCTGCAAAGCACAACAGCCAACAACAACAACAATGAGGAATAAGTGACAGGACTGGGACAGCGTTTCCTTTCTTTGTGCATGGGGGTCTCCATAACTTGGGGGACAAACTTCATGAAAACTAACAGCAACACTATATGTCTTACTTCCTTGCTCGTGGCTAGAATAAAACTACCGCAAGGGGGAAGCTGTATCAGAACTTTATGCTGTCACAGTTTAGGAGGCAGAAGTCCAAATTCACGGTGTCAGCTCTAGGGGAAGGCTTTGTCTCTCGGCTCTGGGGAAAGGTCCCTGTCTCCTTTCAGCATCTACAGGTCAGCGTTTCTTGGAGATCTCAGTGTGGCTTGGAATCAACCTTCTCCTGGATCTGGGAGCTTCATAGAGCAGGAAGCCCAGGCTAACGTTCTTCTTCTTTGGTGGTAGTTATTGTTATGTGCAGTCAAGTCGGTTCCGACCCATAACGACCCTATACAGGGTTTCCGAGGCTGTAAATCCGTATGGGAGCAGAACGCCTCATGTTTCTCCCATGGAACAGCTGGGAGTTTCCAACTGCTGACCTGGCAGTTCACATCCCCAGATTCGATTCCTAGTAGGTCCCTCTAAATTCTGCTTGTTTGCTTAATCTCTTTTATATCTCTAAAGAGATTGATTCAGAACATAACCTAGGCCTGTATATAGCATCTAGCCTCCTTAACATCGCAGGACTGAGGATTTACAACACAATGGATCTTTACATCGGTAACTACAGCTAATTACCTACACCAGACTGATCACATCAGATCACATAAACTCCTGTGAATCCACCAGACTGATCACATCAGGTCGCGTAAACTCCTGTGAATCCACCATAAGTAAATGCCACTCACGGTGCCCCCGTGTGTGTCAGAGTAGAACTGTGCCCACAGGGTTCTCAATGGATGATTTTTCATAAGTAGATCTCACTCATGGTGCCCTATGTGTGTCACAGTAGAACTGTGCTCCACAGGGTTCTCAGTGGATGATTTTTCATAAAGTAGATCCCACTCATGGTGTCCCCACGTGTGTCAGAGTAGAACTGTGTTCCACAGGGTTCTCAGTGGATGATTTTTCATAAGTAGATCCCACTCATGGTTCCTCTTGTGTGTCAGAGTAGAACTGTGCCCACAGGGTTCTCAGTGAGTGGTTTTCAGTAGTTACCAGGCATTTCTTCTTAGGTGTCTCTGAGTGGACTGGAACTTGCAAACCTTTTGGTTAACAGCTGAGTGTGTTCCAGGTGTGCACTCCCTCCCTCTCCCCATACTGCTTTCCTCCCCGCCCCCACTGCCACTCTTCCAGGTCTTGGAGGAAAGAGGTTCTTTACAGCTGCCCTGTGTTTACCTTGAAGGACCAGGTCACACTGACTTTTGACAGTTGTCCCAGATAAGAACAATGTTTGTTTTATGATGGGCTGTTTAAAGCCCTAAATGCCCGCAGCTGAGCCCAGGCTTGGCTTGGGTCCTAATGGTTTGCTGTGTTGAAACTGAGTTAACTAGTTAGACTGGTTTATCCCACTGCCAGACACGTGTGTGTGTGTGTGTGTGTGTGTGTGTAACCCCCCCCGACACACACACACACACACACTCCACTCCCACCCCACCTCATGCCTCAGCGGTCACACTAGGAACACCTGGTGGTTCAATCCATCTGAAAAGCGGGTAGGGGGGCTTATGCTGGGCTGTCTCAGAGTCCCCAGGGCTGGTCTGCAAGCTCCCACATGCCAGGTCTCTGTCTTTCTGTCTGTCTGTCTGTCTTCTGTCCGGTTTCTCTCTCATCCTTTCTCTGTCTTGCTTTGCCTTATGTTTCTCTCTTGTCTGCTTCCTCATTTCCCTTTGTCCTTTGTCCTTCTGTCTCTCTCCACCCTCCTCTTCTCTCCTCCTTTTCTGTCAGTATCTCCCTCTCCATTCCAATATCTGGAGCCCGGCTGTGGCGCTGTTGGAAAACCAGAAAGTCGGTATGAACCCCAAGATCAGTGGTTTCTAACCCACCAGCCACTCCTTGGAAACCCTATACAGAGTCGCCATGAGTCAGAAGGGACTCCATTGCACTTAACAACAATTCCTGTCTCTGTCTCCCTGCCTGCGCCCTGTCTCTTTCCCATCTCCCCCTCCCTCGTGACATAAACATGGAGTCCTGGTGTGGCACTGTAGGATCAGCACTGGACCATTAACTGCAAGGTCGGTAGTTCAAGCTCACCAGATGCTATGAGTTGGGACCAACATGATGGTACTTAACAACAATATAATATAAACATTTCCCAAGCACTTCAGGATTCCTGAAATGGATAAGAGTCCGTCGTAATCATGACTCTTGTACCCATGAATACATCAAAACATTCTGATCTCATCATGCCTCTTTCAGTTTTCTAGAATACGCTCATACGGACCTCCTCCCTCCTTCACAAAGATAAGGAAGTCAGGAAGTTCCTAGGAAATCTAAACAACACCATTAACCGTTAGACTCAGCATTGAACACACCACCTAACAACAGCAGCAGACACGTGTTCATTTATTGTTCAGCAAGGTAGACCATATGCTGGGTTATAATACAAACTCTTAGCAGAAAAATAGTAGTATATTCATTCACTGGAATTAAACACAGCAATAAATTCTGGTATGTGTAACAATACAGATAAAATCTAATAGACAGGTTAATTGGATAAAGTTACAATATACGTCATATAGTATACGTCTGATTGTTGCTCTTAAGTGCAGTTGAGTTGGTTGCGACCCTATATAGGGTTTCCGAGGAGCTACTGGTGAGCTTGAACCGCCAACCTTATGGTTCTAACTCACTTTGCATTCCAGCGCATTAGCCCACAGCACCACACCAGAAGTGCATCACAGCCCCAGAAGCACTACAAAGCATCGTTATGAAATAGAACTGACTCGATGTCACACAACCAGTACCATCCTATGAAATTCAATAAAGGACAAACGTCATCTCTCAAAATACTGGACAAAACACTTGTTATTCCTAGGGTGACTATCAGTCAACTGGGGAAAGGGCTAGAGGGAATCTTGAGTTCAAAATCCAGTGATACAGAGTTCCCTGCAACTCATTCTGGCCCTACCTGACAGAGGACAACTGTCTGATAGAGTTTCCAAGGCTATAAATCTTTATGGAAACCAACTGCTTTCTCCCTCGGGACAGTTAGTGGGTTTGAACCGCCCACCTTGAGGTTAGCAACCCAGCACGTGCTACCAGAGTTCCTTCTCTGATCACAGAGAAGGTT